TTTGGATAGTTATCAATTCTGTGGTGCTATGTTTACCATTGCTGTGGTGCATATAGGTACGTTTACTATTGCTGTGTGGAAAATGGTCACGTTTAGAATTGCTGTGGTGGAAATGGTCACGTTTACTGTTGCTGTGGTGGAAATGGTCACGTTTACTGTTGCTGTGGTGGAAATGGTCACGTTTTACAGTTGCTGTGGTGCATATATGGTAGGGTGCTGGGGTAGTGGTGCTTAGTGGTGCACATAGGTATGTTTACTATTGCTCTGGTGCAAATAGGTATGTTTATTATTGCTGTTGTGCAAATGGGCATGTTTATTATTGCTGAGGTACATATAGTATGTTTACTTTTGCTGAGATGTACATGCGGTATTACATTTTCACGCCTTACACTCGACCCGCTGGGCCAGACCTTTAAATGAGACGTGGTCTATTCACGAGACATGACTGGCAGTTTCTCTTACAGCGTGCGAATAATGCCACGCCTTGCTTAAAGCCCGTTAACTACAATGTTTTCATTCTTTTTAACTCTTTGAAATACCATCTTGTTGCAATAACGCGTTTGTGAATTTCAGCAGTAAACAGAGTCCCACCTTCGTCTCCTGGTGCCGCTTCTATTATGAACAACTTTCAACAGAAAACATTCAAAGCCCAACCCCAAATAAAATGTGAACTCTTTTGATGCGATACTATAAGTAGCATAACGCCGAGGGGAATGTGTTGTGTACGACTGGGTAAATGTAAACATTAATATCTAAACATGATTTAGTAAGTTCCGTATAGACGATGTTTACAAGATAAGGAACAAAGAATCTTTGAGCGTCTCTTGTATGCAACTTAACCCGTGAAACATTAAAGAATCGAGGAAATGACTAAACTACGACAATCCACGTTGGTGACACATTTCTAGAAGGTTAATGTATATTTACTTTGACTTCACATTATGTGTGAATCTGGATGGGCAAAGAAGTGAAGACATTTGAGACTGGTACAGCGCCTGATGATGAGTACAACGTAGACCAACAACCAAGCAGTCTAAAAAAAACCCCCCAAAAACAAACAAAACAACAACGCACTCGCTCACACTCACACTAACTTACGCACGCACGTACGCACGCACGCACGCGCACATTCACACGCACACATACTCACACGCACACACGCGCACACATAACATATAATGGGTATGCAGTGTTACAAATGTAAATGTATTCGTGCGAATGTGTATGTTGTTCAACGGAACCCTCTTCAACTCTCCAGCAACATGACGTCGTTTATCCCAGTTCATTAAGTCGCCTCCTACAAACAGAGTAGGTTCCAAGGGACCAGTTCAAACCCGGAATCACCACTGGTTCGTGATAGAGAGGGACGATGAGGTAGGTAGGTGACATTGTACTTTGTTTCTGCCAACGAATCGACGTTGTACTAAGAATAATAGTTTACTCTTGATAATGAATTAAGTGTGTCAAACTTTGTTCACAATACCCTTCACGGACAAAGAACCGTTACTTCCATCCAATGTCTGTGGATACATCAGCCTGGTCATGCATCGTGCAGATGTTGACTGCAGTGTACATGGTTCTCCTAAAAGTAGGTCTTCTTCAGTGGTAGAGCGAATAACGACTTGTGGAGAGATGATGTATGTGTGGAACACGTATACAGAGTGTTATCATGTATATACATGCATACAGTGTCATCATGTGTATACTTGCATACTCAGTGTTATTCCCTGTTGTTTATATCCATACTCTGTGTTATCCCGTGTATATACCCATACACCATGTTATCCCGTCTATATACCCATACACCATGTTATCCCGTGTATATACCCATACTCAGTGTTATCCCCTGTTTATATCCATACTCTGTGTTATCCCGTGTATATACCCATACACCATGTTATCTCGTGTATATATACATCCATCCCATACCATGTTATCCCGTGTATATACCCATACACATATCCTGTGTATATACCCATACACCATGTTATCCCGTGTATATACCCATACTCCATGTTATCCCGTGTATATACCCATACTCCATGTTATCCCGTGTATATACCCATACTCCATGTTATCCCGTGTATATACCCATACACCATGTTATCCCGTGTATATACCCATACTCCATGTTATCCCGTGTATATACCCATACTCCATGTTATCCCGTGTATACACCCATACACCATGTTATCCCGTGTATACACCCATACACCATGTTATCCCGTGTATATACCCATACACCATGTTATCCCGTGTATATACCCATACACCATGTTATCCCGTGTATATACCCATACTCCATGTTATCCCGTGTATATACCCATACTCCATGTTATCCCGTGTATATACTCCATACTCCATGTTATCCCGTGTATATACCCATACTCCATGTTATCCCGTGTATACACCCATACACCATGTTATCCCGTGTATATACCCATACTCCATGTTATCCCGTGTATATACCCATACTCCATGTTATCCCGTGTATATACCCATACACCATGTTATCCCGTGTATATACCCATACTCCATGTTATCCCGTGTATATACCCATACACCATGTTATCCCGTGTATATACCCATACACCATGTTATCCCGTGTATATACCCATACACCATGTTATCCCGTGTATATACCCATACACCATGTTATCCCGTGTATATACCCATACTCCATGTTATCCCGTGTATATACCCATACTCCATGTTATCCCGTGTATACACCCATACTCCATGTTATCCCGTGTATATACCCATACTCCATGTTATCCCGTGTATATACCCATACTCCATGTTATCCCGTGTATATACCCATACTCCATGTTATCCCGTGTATATACCCTTACTCCATGTTATCCCGTGTATACACCCATACACTCCATGTTATCCCGTGTATATACCCATACTCCATGTTATCCCGTGTATACACCCATACTCCATGTTATCCCGTGTATATACCATACTCCATGTTATCCCGTGTATATACCCATACACCATGTTATCCCGTGTATACACCCATACACCATGTTATCCCGTGTATATACCCATACTCCATGTTATCCCGTGTATATACCCATACACCATGTTATCCCGTGTATATACCCATACACCATGTTATCCCCTGTATATCCCATACACCATGTTATCCCGTGTATACATCCATACTCCATGTTATCCCGTGTATATACCCATACTCCATGTTATCCCGTGTATATACCCATACTCCATGTTATCCCGTGTATACACCCATACACCATGTTATCCCGTGTATACTACCCATGTTATCCCGTCTATATACCCATACTCCATGTTATCCCTGTATATACCCATACTCCATGTTATCCCGTGTATATACCCACACTCCATGTTATCCCGTCTATATACCCATACTCCATGTTATCCCGTGTATATACCCATACTCCATGTTATCCCGTGTATACACCCATACTCCATGTTATCCCGTGTATATACCCATACTCCATGTTATCCCGTGTATATACCCATACTCCATGTTATCCCGTGTATATACCCATACTCCATGTTATCCCGTGTATATACCCATACTCCATGTTATCTCGTGTATATACCCATACTCCATGTTATCCCGTGTATATACCCATACTCCATGTTATCCCGTGTATATACCCATACTCCATGTTATCCCGTGTATATACCCATACTCCATGTTATCCATGTATATATACCCTTACACCATGTTATCCCGTGTATACATCCATACTCCATGTTATCCCGTGTATACACTCATACTCCATGTTATCCCGTGTATACACTCATACTCCATGTTATCCCGTGTATACACTCATACTCCATGTTATCCCGTGTATACACTCATACTCCATGTTATCCCGTGTATACACCTCATACTCCATGTTATCCCGTGTATACACTCATACTCCATGTTATCCCGTGTATACACTCCATACTCCATGTTATCCCATGTATACACCATACTCCATGTTATCCCATGTGTATACACTCATACTCCATGTTATCCCATGTATATACCCATACTCCATGTTATCCCGTGTATATACTCATACTCCATGTTATCCCATGTATATACCATACTCCATGTTATCCCGTGTATATACCATACTCCATGTTATCCCGTGTATATACCCATACTCCATGTTATCCCGTGTATACACCCATACTCCATGTTATCCCCTGTATACACTCATACTCCATGTTATCCCGTGTATACACTCATACTCCATGTTATCCCGTGTATACACCCATACTCCATGTTATCCCGTGTATACACCCATACTCCATGTTATCCCGTTATCCCATGTGTATACCATACTCCATCCATGTTATCCCTGTATACATCCATACTCCATGTTATCCCCTGTATACACCCATACTCCATGTTATCCCCTGTATACACCCATACTCCGTGTTATCCCGTGTATATACACCCATACTCCATGTTATCCCCTGTATACATCCCATACTCCATGTTATCCCCTGTATACATCCATACTCCGTGTTATCCCCTGTATACACCCATACTCCGTGTTATCCCCTGTATACATCCATACTCCGTGTTATCCCCTGTATACATCCATACTCCGTGTTATCCCCTGTATACATCCATACTCCGTGTTATCCCCTGTATACATCCATACTCCGTGTTATCCCCTGTATACATCCATACTCCGTGTTATCCCCTGTATACATCCATACTCCATGTTATCCCTGTTATCCCTCCATGTTATCCCCTGTATACATCCATACTCCGTGTTATCCCCTGTATACATCCATACTCCATGTTATCCCCTGTATACATCCATACTCCATGTTATCCCCTGTATACATCCATACTCCGTGTTATCCCCTATATACATCCATACTCCGTGTTATCCCCTGTGTACATGTATCAGTGCTAGTTGTCTGACGGCTCAATCCTTACACGCCTTAAGGAGGTACGCCCAGTAGCCTTTAATTTAACGTAAACAATTTCACTCATGCGTGTCTGTATTTGAGCACAGCATCTGTGAAACTGAAAAGTTTATTTTTATTGCAACTGAACTATATTTATACATTTATACGATTGATGTACACCTCCCTCAATCTTCATGCGGTTGCTGCAGTATCAAGAAGGCGATCTAGAGACAGGCGTGTTGGTCAACATTTTAGGATATAGGTTCTGGGAAACAGACCGGTACGAGGGACCGAGAGCGTGACGCATTCAGAACGCGTGTGAGATTCAAAGATAGAGAGGAAGCATTGAACCCGTTTGTCTGGAGCCCCGATCGGAGTTCACCCCGCACTGAAGCAGACTCAGGACAGAGGTAGGACCGGCCATCATGTTTGGACAAAGTAGGAAAAATAGGTGGCCAAACTTCGACGACCGTCAGAGCGACGGAGATAGAGGTAAGTTCTTCTTAGGGCTGGGAGTCCCGGTTTAACGGGTTGAAGGGTGGGGCTGTGTGTAGGAAGACAGCCTTTCATGGAGTACAATAGGCCATGTAAAGCATGTCGCATACGATATCATGATGTGAACAGTTTTACAAATGTAGTTTAAACATATACAGATAATTTGTGAAATAATATTTCGGGAGAGGTATATATTGTGCGATGTCATGTTCGGGTGCTGTTACTTAGTTCAAAGTAGTCTGAGAGTAGTTACAATGTGATACGATTTTGTGTTGGGATGTGGTGTTGAGGTGATATTGACGTGATGTCGCGCCCGTTCAAAGATAATTACACTTATTTTAACGATATGCATGTGCGTGCTTGTGCGTGTGTGTGTGCGTGTGCGTGTGCGTCATTGTAGTAGTCCGTCCTGACTGCTAGTCCAGAGAGATACCATGCAACAGTTTAATACAAATACTTCACGCAGACATATTACACTGTACACTGTCTCCGGTCTGACCGATCACTGGATTGTCTGGTCCAGACTTGATTATTTACAGACCGCTGCCATCCAGCTGCAATATTGCTGAGTACGGCTTTAAACAAGAAGAAAAAGAGTCAGCGATTTGATGGGACATAATTTATTTTTAGCCAATGAGCTCCCTTGCTCTTTTCAGTGCGGGGCAGATTAAGGCCAAGGTCGTCAATGGCCAACGGGCACGACACAATTCTGTTTGCGATGAATAAATGTACGTAAACTCATTATGACAGTGAGATGTAAGTGTCTCTGAAAAAAATGGCGACTAGCGCGCTGACAGGCGCCATCAGTTCAACATGTTTTGGTGCATGTCGTATATGCATACTGTGAAATAAACAAGAAAATGGGTGAGTTACCGCTACAAATTCTGAGCAGGGATTTTGGCTCAGAATCGTGAAATCACGATTTTTCGAGCTTCCGAAGACCCTAGCTCCCAAAGTACTGCTTCGATTTTTGTGCTGTATGTCTCATTTTGTAGGTAAATCTATTGGCTTGAAATGTGTGCATGCTTTCAATGGGCTAAATACAGTGAGTATTGTTGAATTCGCCCTGAAACGAACCTGGTATATTGACCTCGTTACATCCCTTTCCTTTAATATAGTACTAAGACCCCGTCAGTGACAGTATATACCTTGATGGCAGTTTTTAGCGTTACAAGCCCCTGTGGTGCTATCGAGGAAAAAAGTTGTTTACCAAGACAGACAATGGCTATGGTGGGACCAAGAGTGTTTCCAAAGTTTGAGATCTTTTGTCGAGGTGAAGTAATTTCCACAGTGGTCAAGGAAGATTATGCTCACCGACAGGAGTTGTCCCTTCCAGTAGTAATCCTCGGAGATCTTACATCCTTAGATCATCACTTCTCAAACTTTTTCTCTCACAGAGATATGCTTTCAGATGAACAAAAGTTTTCAATAACAGACTTATAAGTCATGCAAGAATGCAGTTTGCCTGCAGTAGCATTGCCGCCAGTGAATTTTTACATAATGTTTGCGAAAGGCTTAACCAGATCTATGATGATGAATGAGATGAGCACTAGTGTTGGGAATTGGTTGAAAGATCACAATTGATGATTGATTCATTACCAGCGAACAATCATCGAAAAAAATTGGTTAGCGTAATTTTTCAGATTTTCCTATCCAGGTTGCTATTGCAGATATGTATAACATGATGCAACTTGCTACTTTAAAGTGATGGCTAATATATCATGACCATAAACTTCCCGGAGTCTTCAAAAAATATATTCAGTCATGGCTTTTCAGTTAGTGAAGTGAGTTTTCTAAGAATTAAACACGTTTTCAGGCCCTTACAACTTCTACGATACGTTCCATTGTCAAGTATTTCAAAGACTAAAACAGTAGTTCCAAAATCGTTTACGGTCGATTATGAGAAAATGTGATCGATTGCTTGGTCGTTTGGTCACTGCGACCAATCTTCGGTTATTTCAATTAATCGGAACACCACTAATGAGCACGAGGATGAGGAGGAACCTGGCGATTATGACGATGTTACCCAATGTCGAACAGGTCAGAAGGTCCAACAAGATGTCATGCAGGCCTTTGCCTGATCTAGTGATCTAGTTTCATCTGTGAAAGAACCATGGAATTGTATTCCAGTAGAAAGGTACTGCAAAAATAATGTGGAGAGACGGTTGTTCATAACCATCATGCTTTTACAGAAAGTTTGTTGTCGGTGTCCTCCCATTACGCAGTTCGCAGACACCTTAAAACAACAACATTTACGGTTCAGTGAACAGATTATCTACTACCTGTTACCTACACATTATAATGGAATAGTCCAAATAAAAACATAGGAACAAACTGAAGCTATAATATTTATTTTGAAAGATGGACGAAATGAGAGTAATTTGAATTTTTATTGCTGCAATATAAAAGCAGTCTGTTTTCAGAAACATTTCATTTCATATTGAAAACATTAGCTTAGCTATTAAAAATTGCGACACTGTTGTATCATATAAATCAAATAAAGACAAATGTGAACCTAAATATTATTCATATGGAATAAAGAAGTTATATGTTTTGCATACAATAGTAAGGTATATGACGAGTGCACTTAATTACGATTTATTCAGAATAAATATTTAAAATATGACGCATCATGTCAATGTGGCCATGGATGTGAGAATGTTTTTCATTACTTCCTTGAATATCCATTGTATACTACTCAAAGACATAAACTGTTACAATCTTTAGAAAGTATTGTTGAAATTAGAACACTGATTGGTATTCATCGTATCTTACATGGCAATGCAGGTGTCTCATTTACTGCAAATCAGAATGTTTTCAAATATGTACATATCTATATCTCTCCAACAAAACGTTTTCTCAGTTACCTTCTGTTGTACATATGATATTATTTGGAGGGGTCTTTTCTATCAATAAACACAATCAAACCTCTCAGTGACAAACCTGTTTTTATATTCGATAGTAATTGATAGTAAAATCAATTTTGAGAAGAGAAATAATTTATCATTTAATCACAACAAAGTTCTATTTACCCACAATCAAACTTCTCAGTAACGAACCTGTTTCAGGCTCACTCTGCTCTACTCACTAGACAGTGGACTGTTCCATTATACCCGTAGGTGTTACCCTAATTAACCTTCTAATTCAGTGTCTGTCAATTGGGTGTCTGTCATATGGGTGTCTGTCAAATGGGAGATAACCCTGTTGTCAGCTGCTTCTGACAAATAGAAAGTAAAAAAAATATATCCGCTACACATGAGCCTTAATCAAGCACACCCTCTTTTTAGGCAAACACATGATCCATTGCTTTTGAGATATTGTGTGAAGCACATGTTTTGTCCATTCCAGTGATAGGGTATGATGGTCCGTTTGGGCCAAAATTGTTAAAAATTGCATTGGATGCAGATGGTGCTAAACTAATGGTCACGTGTATCTGTATATTAAGTAATTTGCTCATTGTTACGGATGTCAACAACCGCCTCTGTGGTGTAGTGGTTAGAGCGTCCGCCCTGAGAGCGGAAGGTCGCGGGTTCGATCCCCGACCGCGTCATACCAAAAGACGTTAAAATATGGTACTTGTTGGTCCCTGCCTGGCGCTCGGCATTAATGGGTACAACAAGGACTGGTCGGCTCTGAGTCAGTATAATGTGTCTGAGTGGGGTATTCATGCTTCACTGCGGCATGGTATACAGTGGGCTAGCACTATGAAACCAGCTTCAGTCTGGGCTAGTACAAGCAGCCGCACATACACATACACACGCATGCACGTCGTCATATGAGCGAAATATTCTCAAGCACGACGTAAAACTCACCTCACCTCACCTCACCCGGATGTCAGTCTCAAATAATTCTCACCATTCATGTTCATATCTTCAACTTCAGTCATTTCTGTCAGTTAGCAACTTGTCAGCAGACTTATTATCTGACGGACTATAACCTATAAAGTGGTCATCGCTGAATTGACGTTACAAGGTTAACAATCACATTACAGTTATTATCAACATAAGTCCTGGCTTGTACCACTGATTATCAGATACTACTGTCATATGTTTTAGGTGTTAGGAGTTGAAACAGAATACATTTACCCCTGAGTTTAATAACACGTTAGAGTCATGTCTCAACAACCCCGTCATGATGACAGCGTTGACAATAAGACAGTATGTTACCAATTTATTTTACAAAATGGGGTATATAACAAAAATCCATATCATTCAGGTTAGAATGATACCTTGAGAGTCTGAATTCTGATTTTAAACATCAAAATATAACTTGTTTTGTTGAAGAAATAACTTGAAATACACATCCGTGTATTTTTGCTATGTGTTCGCATGGCACAAATACTGACCATGCAAATTTGCACGTGTGTAAATATACATTTACATGACCTCCAGACCACATGCAAATTTGCTCCTTGTGTAAATATACCCACGTGAGATTTCCAGATGCGTTCGCATGACACGTTTACGCACGGGTGTATTTTTTACATTGTGTGTAAATTAGCTCACGTATGTAAACAGGTGCATGCGAACGGGGTATACATTGTGTTCTGCTGGCGTACAGCTGTACTCAACTTACTGGGCTAAGCGGGCAGCGATCCAAGGAGCCAAAAATCAAAATCAAACGTGGCCAGGTGTGAAAAGCTTTGGAGTCGACCATGTTTCCAGAATGTTTCAGCATTGACACAAAATTAATTCGTTAGTACATGGCCCCATATTGGACTCAACAACACATGGAAACAACATTTGTTGTTACAGTGTATGTAACCTGCACTGCAAAAAAGTCTACATTTATAAGCTTGTAAATCTGTTGTAAAGATGAGGTTTGCAAAACATTTACAAATTTGTAAATATGTAAGGGAAATAACTGGTGTGTAGTGCTTATTTATTGTTCTTTGTACGTCCCAAGACCTAATCCCTTGTTAATTTATAAGTGAGTCAAGTCATTTAAGATACACCAATTAACAAGGCCTACTCCCTTATTAATTGGTGAGTGAGTCA